CGGGGCCGGGGCCGGGGCCGGGGGTCAGGGGCCGGGCCGGGGCCGGGGCCGGGGCCGGGGGTCAGGGGCCGGGCCGGGACCGGGGGTCAGGGGCCGGGGCCGGGGCCGGGGCCGGGGGTCAGGGGCCGGGCCACAGCAGGGCCAGCAGGCTGAGCAGCAGCCCGAGGCCCAGCAGGGCGGAGCTGGCCCGCAGCCCGCGGGCGGCGCTGAAGTTGCACAGGAAGCTCTGGCAGCAGTGGGTGCCCACGGAGGCCACGCCGATGTTGATGCCGGGCGGCGCGGGGCAGATGGGGGAGCAGCCCTTGTTCAGGCTGTAGCCGAGGTCCACCACGTTCCCTGGGGGCGGGGCGGGGCGGGGTGAGTGGCGGGGGCGGGGCGGGGGCGGGGCCGGGCGGGGCCGGGCGGGGCCGCACTCACCGATGCCGGCCGCCGCGGACACGGTCACGCAGTAGTTGTCCGCGGCCTCGCACACGGTGGGCCGCAGGCAGTAGAAGTTGCTCTGCTGGTTGGTGCAGGAGAAGCACACCAGCGAGTGGGCTGGAGGGAGAGGCGCAGGCTGCAGGGACCCTGGCCTGGGGCCGGGGGCGGGGGGGGGGGGGCAGGAGGCAGGGGACAGTGGACAGGGTCTGGGGGGTGGGGGAGCCAGGGAGCAGGGTGTGGGGGGAGGGGAGAGGGAGGGGAGCAAGGTGCGGGGGGCACAGGGGGCAGGAGGCAGGGTGTGGGGGGCGCAGGGGGCAGGGTATGGGGGGGCGCAGGGGGCAGGAGGCAGGGTGTGGGGGGCGCAGGGGGCAGGGTATGGGGGGGCGCAGGGGGCAGGAGGCAGGGTGTGGGGGGCACAGGGCGCAGGGTGTGGGGGGCACAGGGGGCAGGAGGCAGGGTGTGGGGGGCACAGGGCGCAAGGTGCGGGGGGCAGGAGGCAGGGTGTGGGGGGGCAAAAGGCAGGGTGTGGGGGGGCGGGGGCAGGGTGTGGGGGGCACAGGGGGCAGGGTGTGGGGGGGGCAGGAGGCAGGGTGTGGGGGGGCAGGGGGCAGGGTGCGGGGGGGCAGGAGGCAGGGTGTGGGGGGGCAGGGGGCAGGGTGTGGGTGGGCACAGGGGGCAGGGTGTGGGGGGGCAGGGGGCAGGGTGTGGGGGGGGCAGGGAGCAGGGTGTGTGGGGGCAGGGGGCAGGGTGTGGGGGGGCAGGAGGCAGGGTGTGGGGGGGCAGGGGGCAGGGTATGGGGGGCAGGAGGCAGGGTGCGGGGGGCAGGAGGCAGGGTGTGGGGGGGCAGGGGGCAGGGTGTGGGAGTGCAGGGGGCAGGGTGTGGGGGGGCAGGGGGCAGGGTGTGGGGGGGCAGGGGGCAGGGTGCGGGGGGCAGGGTGTGGGGGGGCAGGGGGCAGGGTGCGGGGGGCAGGAGGCAGGGTGTGGGGGTGCAGGGGGCAGGGTGTGGGGGGGCAGGGAGCAGGGTGTGGGGGGCAGGAGGCAGGGTGTGGGGGGGCAGGGGGCAGGGTGCGGGGGGCAGGGTGTGGGGGGGCAGGAGGCAGGGTGTGGGGGTGCAGGGGGCAGGGTGTGGGGGGGCACAGGGGGCAGGGTGTGGGGGGGCAGGGGGCAGGGTGCGGGGGGCAGGAGGCAGTGTGCGGGGGGCAGGAGGCAGTGTGCGGGGGGCAGTAGGCAGTGTGCGGGGGGCAGGAGGCAGGGTGTGGGGGGCAGGGTGTGGGGGGCACAGGAGGCAGTGTGCGGGGCACAGGGGGCAGGGTGTGGGGGGGCACAGGGGGCAGGGGGCAGGGTGTGGGGGGGCACAGGGGGCAGGGTGTGGGGGGCAGGGTGCGGGGGGCAGGAGGCAGGGTGTGGGGGTGCAGGGGGCAGGGTGTGGGGGGGCACAGGGGGCAGGGTGTGGGGGGCAGGGGGCAGGGTGCGGGGGGCAGGAGGCAGGGTGCGGGGGGCAGGAGGCAGGGTGCGGGGGGCAGGGGGCAGGGTGTGGGGGGGCACAGGGGGCAGGGTGTGGGGGGCACAGGGGGCAGGGTGCGGGGGGCAGGGGGCAGGGTGTGGGGGGCAGGGGGCAGCGTGTGGGGGGCAGGGGGCAGGAGGTCACAGTGCCCGCAGGCCCGCGGGCCTCACCTTGCTCCGCGCCCAGGAGGGCGGCCAGCAGCAGGGGCAGGAAGACCTTCATGATGGGGGACGGCTCTGGTCGGCCTCACACGCAGAGCTGCTGTGCTGTGTCCTGTTAAAACACGCAAATACAGAGGTGGTCACTGAAGCCGGGGGGGGGGACACCCATGACGAGAGGGAGTCGTGGGTCGGCTGCCTCCTACACGCCTGCCCCCCATGGGGACCGAACCTGCCACCGGGCCTGTGCCCGGACGGGAATCGCACCGTGAGCCCTGGCTCCCGGCCAGGGCTCCCCCAGCCAAGCTGGCCGAGCGCCACTCGGCTCTGGAGACACAGCTGGTGGCCCGAGGGTGGCCCCTTGTACGGGGGTGGGGGGGCCTGCTTCCAGCAGCGGCAGGACTTGGGTCTTTCTGCTCCCCCCCTGCAGCCTCCGGCTTCTGAGAAGCACAGCTGGGCGGTCGGAGTGGCGGGCCTGGCCCTGGGGAGGTGGCCAGAGGCGCTAGCTAGCTGGCTTCCTTGTGGAGCGAACACCAGTGAACGGCGCTGGAGGCCACACCCAACGGGAACCTGGAGCCTTATCCGGCCGGAGGTCAGAGCAGCCGCTTGTGTGCAGGACCACCCTTTATATGTACACATTTTAGGGATTTTCCACAGAGAGGGAGGGAGAGGGACAGGGAGCTAGAAACATGGGTGAGAGAGAAACACCGATCAGCCGCCTCCTGCACGCCCCCGACCGGGGATATGCCCGCAATCAAGGTCCATGCCCTTGACCGGAATCGAACCCGGGACCGTTCCGTCCGCAGGCCGACGCTCCATCCACTGAGCCACACCGGTTTTGGAAAGACCACCTGCTAAGACATTAGCCACATCCTGTTTTTGCAGAGAAAAGCGACCCCAGGCAGAGCAGCTTTCCCCAATGACGCAGGCCGTGCTATTGGGGGCCATGTTACTCACGGCCATCCTGTTCTCCAGAAAGCTGGCAGGGTCCCGTCTCGCAAGGCCACTTTGTTAGGGGCAGGGAAGGGGCCAGGAGACCCTCCCTCAAGGCCTGGCCGGTCTCAGCACTGGCAACCCTATGACCAGTCTCTCCCAAGTGCTCAGAAATTCCCACTCTGCCAAAACCAGTGTGGCTCAGTGGATAGAGCGTCTGTCTGCAGACTGAAGGGTCCCGGGTTCGATTCCGGTCAAGGGCATGGACATTGGTTGTGGGCCCATCCCCAGTGAGGAGTGTGCAGGAGGCAGCTGGTTGACATTTCTCTCTCCTCGATGTTTCTAACTCTCTATCCCTCTATCTTCCTCTCTGTAAAAAAATCAATAAAATATATTAAAAAAAATTCCCACTCTAACACATCCAGAACTTTCCATGGCCAGCTCCGCGCTGGCCATGGGACCCAGGGGCCAGGTGGGAGGCGTGCCCAGCGGAGCAGTGGCCCAGGGCCGCCTGGTGCTCCGGGACTCGGACATCTGGGCTGTACTGATGCTGAAGACCGAGACCCTGGGTCCCATGTTAAATACCTGCTTCTCCCCGTTCTGTGGCCGGAAACAGGCCCAGAGCACTGGGCCCGCTCAGCAGGAGGCGCCGGGGGAGGGTCTGGGCCTCTGCCCGGCGGTGGGGGGCGGGGACTCCATTGGAGGCTCCCTGGGAGGAAGCTCAGCAGGGAGAGAAGAGACTTGGGGAGGGAGGGGCCCCAGGCCTCGCCTGCCTGCCTGGCCCCCGTCCAGGCCCCAGCCAGGGGGTCCATCGGGCCCCAGCCAGGGAGGGTCCGTTAAGCCCCAGCCAGGGGGGCCAGCCAGGGTGGTCCTTCGGGCCCCAGCCAAGGGGTCCTTCGGGCCCCAGCCAGGCCCCAGCCAGGGGGTCCCTCGGGCCCCAGCCAGGCCCCAGCCAGGGGGTCCCTCGGGCCCCAGCCAGGCCCCAGCCAGGGGGTCCCTCGGGCCCCAGCCAGGGGGCCGGGAGCCGGTGCGGGGCGCTGGCAGGGCCAGGTGAGGCAGAGCAGTGCTCCCCGCCGGCTCCGGGTGTTTCGGGGAAGCCGGCGCCGGGCCGCGGGGAGGCGGAGGCGGGAGGGCCGGGTCCAGGCAGGAGGAGGCCGGCGCCCCGGCCCCGCAGCTGCTTGCGGAACCGATGCCAACCCACCGGGGTGACCCCCGGGGCGGCCAGTCCGCCCCGGCCGGCCCCGGCCCCGCAGCTCAGGACGGCCTCCCGCCCCGGCCCGCGAGCGGCCGCGTGGAGCCCGCGCTGGGCGACCGGCCGAGCCTGCGCCGCCGCCGGCCCCGCGCCCGGACCTCCGGAGCCGCGGGCGGCTCAGCCCCTCTCCCCCGCCGGGCCCACCCGGACCCCGGACCCCCGCCCCCGGCCCCCCCGCGCCGGGCCTCCCCCCGCCCCCGGCCTCCCCTCCGACCCCGGCCTCCTCCCGCCCCCGGCCAACCCCCCCCGCCCCGCCCCCGGCCTCCCCGCGGCGCCCCCGCCGCCCCGCCGGACTCACCGCCCGCTCCGCCCGGACTGCCCGGCGCTCAGGCGGGACTCGCAGGCGGGGCGGATGGCGGGGCGGGGCGGGGCCGGGCGGGTGGAGGGGCGGGGGCGGGGCGGGGCCGGGGCGGGTGGAGGGGCGGAGCCGGGGCGGAGCCGGGCGGGAGCGGATGGGGCGGGGGCGGGGCGGGGGGCGGAGTCGCGGGCGGAGGGGACGCCGGTCCTGACCCCACTGGGGGGTCCCGCCGAGCCCCGGGCTGCGGGAGGCGCCCCGTGCGCGGGCGGAGGACCCACAGGCGGGAGTGCGCTCGCGTGTGTGTGCGCGCGGGAGTGTGTGCGGTGGGCGTGCGTGTGCGTGTGGGAGTGTGTGCGCGTGGGAGTGCGTGTGCGTGTGTGTGCGTGTGGGAGTGTGTGTGCGGTGGGAGTGCGTGTGCGTGTGTGTGCGTGTGGGAGTGCGTGTGTGTGCGTGTGGGAGTGCGTGTGTGTGCGTGTGGGAGTGTGTGTGCGGTGGGAGTGTGTGTGTGCGTGTGCTTGTGTGTGCGGTGGGAGTGTGTGTGTGCGTGTGCTTGTGTGTGCGGTGGGAGTGTGCCTGTGGAGCTCTGGGCTGTGGCAGCTCCTTGCTGGCCTGTGAGGTCAGGGAAAGGCGGCTGGGACCTCCTCGGGCTGGTCCTCGGAGGCTGAAGTCCAGGCTGTGTGCCCTGGGCTGTCCCCACCCAGGGGTGGTGACACCGGTGGTTCCAGAGCCCAAGGACCCGGCGTCAGCAGACCTCTGACTTGGGGCAGGACCGGGGTCTGGGCAGGGCTGCCTCCGCCAGTCCCAGCAGCGGCCTGCGCATCTGTCCTGGGCTCGGGCTTGTCCTGAGGGGGCGACATCGCCGTCCCTCCGAGGGGTGCTCTGGGCCCCAGCTGGGTGCCTCCCCCAGACATCAGCCCCGAGGCCGGGACTTGCGTGTGTCCAGCAGGCAGAGCTCAGCAAACACCAGGGTGAAGGCCCAGTGGCTTTGCCTCCCACAAGACAGGCCCCCTGGCATTCGGGGACCCTCAGCACCCAAAGGACCAGCTCGCGTCCCAGGGTCCCTGCTGTGGGTCCGGCAGGAGACCGGCACCCTTTCCAAGGTGTCCTGGCCGGCCCGCCGCTGGGGCTCAGGGTGGAGCGCCGGCTTAGGAACCTGGAGGTCACAGTTCACTTCCAGGTCAGGGCCCGGGCCGGGTTGCAGGCTGCATCCCCAGCGTGGGGCGAGCAGGAGGCAGCGATCCATGCTTCTCTCTCATCACGGATGTATCTCTCTCTCCCTTCCTCTCCGAAGTCAATAAAGAAAAAGAGTGTCCGCCTGCCCGCGGCCGAGCCCCCGAGCCCCCGGTCTGTGTGAGCCAGGCCCCCAGCAGCCGGGAGCCCTTCGGAAAATCGGGGGGCGGGGGGCAGGTGGTCCGGCGGCCGTCTGAGAGGGCGGCTGTTGTGGCCACGTTAGCGGCTGGTCCCGCTGTGAGCCCGTGGCCTCCCTGTCCACACAGACCTTGGCCTGTGACCTGTGCTCCGGCGGCGTGCGCCCCCGCGTCCCCAGCGCCCAGGCAGCACCTGCTCTGCCTCCTGACCGGCCGCCCACCTGCTGGGGCGGCCCCGCTGTGGCCGGGCCTCAGGGAGGCAGGTCTGAGCTCGCCTGGGCCTCCGGAATGTGCGCGGGCGGTTTGGTTGCCTGGTCTCTGCTGGAAACATGGGCGCAGCCATCGGGGTTCGGCCTGGGCGGGAGCCAGCGGTGGTCTGGCACAGCCCAGCACTCCGGGGCCCCTGAGGCAGGGCGTTTCGGGGTGAGGAGGGTCCAGAGCGGAATCCCATCTCCCCGGGGCGGAGCACCACCTCCCAGGGCGGAGGGGGCCTGGCGGGCAGTGCCCTGTGGGCGTGGCCCTGTTGCTACGGTCGCTGTTGGCTGTCTGCCTTGGAGGTCTGGGTTGCTCTGTGGTCAGCACCTGGGGCTTTAGCCTCTGTCATCGGGGCCAGTTCCGCCGAGGACGTGCCCTCCAAGTGACCTTCCACAGGCTGAAGAGGCCCAGGACGCGCAGCAGGGGGCCGTGCCCGCCATCCCTCCGGGCCCCAGGGTGCTAACCAGGAGGCAGCACACCCTCTCCCGAGCCCTGTGCTCCAGTGCCTGCCCCTCCTGCCATGAAGCCCCGGGCACTGCCCCGCTGTGAACACTGCCCAGCCTGAACGAGGAGCTCAGGAAGTAACTGGACAAGCACATTTACATGGAAATACAGCTCCAGAGACGGTGCTGTGGGACTGAGAACTCATTACTACTTTTAAAATATATTTTTATTGATTTCAGAGAGGAAGGGAGAGAAACGTCAATGATAAGAATCATGGGCATGCGCCATCGAACTGGGGACCCTTCCGTCCGCAGGATCGCGCTCTATCCACGGAGCCAAACTGCCCAGGGCCCCAAGTCCTCCATTCTTGCGTCTCAGTCCCACCTCGCACCCAGCTCTCCGCCCTCCCGGGTCCCGCGGGCCTGGGGCTTCCTCCACGCCCTCCGGAGGGCCCAGGAGGCCCGTTGAGCGCCCTCCCGCCGGCCCTGTCCCTGGTGCCGGTCCCCGTCGGCGTCCCTCGCGCGCCCTCTCGTGGCCGAGGCGCGCGCCGCACAATGAAGCGGCTCCGCTAGTTTCCGGTTCCAAGCGCGACCCCGCGGTGGCGGCCCGAGCGGCTGAGGCTCTAACTCCCGTCCCTGGGGGTCGCGGACCCTCCCGGTCCTGGCTGCGCTTGGAGCCCTCTGGGGAGGGCGCCCCTGGGGCCCACATGGGAGATCGGGCCCTCGCCAGCCCGTCCCCGCCCTTGGAGGTGCTGGGCACCCCGCCCGGAGGGGGAGGCTGCGGGGAGGCCAGGCCCCTCGCTGTGCGGGCCGAGTCCCCGTTCTCTCCCAGGAACTCTCCCTTCCGGGCAGGTTCCGTTTCTCCTCTGGAGCCTCCCGGGGCGGCCCGGGAAGGGGGTGCCGGCCCAAGCCCTCCCGGTGTGTGAGCTGGGTGCCCCCGCGGCCCCGGGCCTCACCTCCCGCCTCTGCACGGCGCTCTCGGGATCCGAGGGGGCGGGGCCGCGGCGAGGCCTCGGGGCGGGAGGGGGCGGGGCCTCAGGGCGGGAGGGGCGGGGCCTCGGGCGGGAGGGGGGCGGGCCGTTCGGGGAAATGGAAACTGGAGAGCCGCCAGGGTCTCAAAACGGAGGCTCGGTCCTGCGGCTCCACTGGCGGAGCACCGCTTCCCTACACACGTGCTGCCCACGGCACCACACACACCCCGCGGGCACCCCCCAATTGCATACGGTCTCACCCATGCACTGTGCTCCCTGACTCCCTCCCAGGCGTGACCGGAGTGACCACAGTGACCACAGTGACCAGTGTCCAGAGTGACCACAGTGACCGGAGTGACCAGGAGTGACCAGAGTGTCCACAGTGACCAGAGTGACCACAGTGGCCGGAGTGACCACAGTGGCCAGAGTGACCACAGTGACCGGAGTGACCAGGAGTGACCAGCCGCCGGCGGGGAGGTCGGTGAAGCCCGGGGCACAGAAAGCCTGCGGGGGCAGGCGGGGGACCCTGCCCCGCTGGGAGCTGGTCAGCGGGCAGCCACCACGTCTGGGACAGACAGGAAGGGCGCACCCGGACCGGTCGGCCCGCGCTCTGGAGGCCGTGGCTGGGCGGCTGTGCCCCGGCCCTCCGATTGGGGCTGCAGCCCCTGGAGGCCGGGCGCTTGTATTGACCAACACACCGGTGACCAAGGTGCCCACGGCCAAGAACGGCTGTGATGGCGACTAGGGGTCTGGGCGGTGGGCGGTGGGCGGCCCCAGGCAGGGACGCAGGGAGGATGGGGGGGTGAACAGGCGGTGCCGGATCACGGGTGACTTCCTGCCTCACCCTAACGTGGTGATGTTAGCGCCGAGGAAGCTGCGAGGCGGATAAACGCTGGACTGATTTTGAAACTTTTGTGTGAACTGACTTCAAAAAGGAAAGTTAAAAATGTCAAAGCAGTGTGAAATGGGGGTGGGGCACCCTTCCCCCCCACATCCTCCCCCTGCACCCCCACCCCACAGGGTGCCGTGTGTGGTGTCACGGGTCTCTCATGGGGGCTGGGCAGACAGGAAAGGGGGTGCTGGGCAGACACAGGGGGGGGTGCTGGGCAGACAGGAAAGGGGGTGCTGGGCAGACAGGAAAAAGGGTGCTGGGCAGACAGGAAAGGGGGTGCTGGGCAGACAGGAAAGGGGGTGCTGGGCAGACAGGAAAAAGGGTGCTGGGCAGACACAGGAGGGGGTGCTGGGCAGACACAGGAGGGGGTGCTGAGCAGACGCAGGAGGGGGTGCTGGGCAGACAGGAAAGGGGGTGCTGGGAAGACGCAGGAGGGGGTGCTGGGGCTCCCAGCTTTCCTGGCTCCGGGCCCTGCACTCCTCACAGCCTGGGCATGGGAAGGGGCACGGGGAGGAGGGATGTGGGGAGGAGGGGCGCAGGGAGGAGGGGCATGGGGAGGAGCGCCCTTTGTCTGGGTTTGGGGCTGCGTCTCCCTTTCAGCTCGGTGGTGAGAGGACCTGAGGGGTCCCTGGTCTGCTCTGCTCCAGCCCCCGAAGAAAACAGCGTGGGGGCAGGGGCCCGTCCCAGAGGCCCCGGAGGGGGCAGCGGCCCCGGAGGGGGGCGGGGTCCCGTCCCAGCGGCCCCGGAGGGGGGCAGGGGTCCCATCCCAGAGGCCCCGGAGGGGGCAGCGGCCCCGGAGGGGGGCAGGGGTCCCGTCCCAGCGGCCCCGGAGGGGCGAGGCCGGTAGTGTGGGTTCTTGACTTCACGCAGGAACGTGCTCAGGACATGGGCCAGGTGGTTCTGACCCGAGGTTTATTGAAGCTGGGACGGTGGGAGGGAGGGGGGCTGGAGAGAGGAAGCCAGGGGTGAGGGGGGCATGTGCCCTGCAGGAGGTGACAGACGGAGGAAGGGCCCAGTCAGAGAGGAACAGCGTGGGAGGCGGGTGGGGTGAGCCCGGACAGCTGCCCCCAGGTTTTGAGTCTGTGGGGACCTTCGGGCTTCAGGGAGAGAGTGGAGATATGGGCCGAGGGAGACAGCTGGGGCTCTAGGGAGGGGAAGGGAGGGGCGCCTGCTGGCTTCCCCGCCCTCCGCTGCGGGAGCTGGGGTGGTCTCGGGAGGGTCTCCGTGTCGCTGGCCTGACCTCGTGGGACTGACTGCCAGGCTTGCCAGCACGGTGACCCCCGCCCCCGCTCCCAGCTGCTCAAAACCTCTCCCACCCGCGAGGCCAGGGCCCCAATCCTGAGGGCTCAGTGCGAAGGGGCAGCGGCACTGCAGACGGAGGACTTCATTAAAGGGAGCACCGGGGCCCTGGCTGGTGTTGCTCAGTGGATAGGGCGTCGGCCTGCGGACTGAAGGGTCCCGGGTTCCGGGGTCAGACCCAGTAGGGGGCGTGCAGGAGGCAGTTGATCAACGATTCTCTCTCATCGTTGATGATCCTATCTCACCCCCTCTCCCTTCCTCTCTGAAATCGCACAAATATATTTTCAAAGGGACACATGGCTGCGCTGCCCTTCCGCTCTCCCAGAGGCTTCTCTGTGGTCCCCTGATGGCGGCCGGGGTTGGCGGTCCTCTCTCAGGGCACCTTTGGCCCGGATGTCCATTGGGCCCTCGGCGGTCCACCCAGCCCCCCGCGGAGGGTGGCGGGCAGCGGCCTGCTGCAGGCTCAGCTCTGGCCAGAGCGCGGGCAAGGAGTGCGTGTGCCGCGGCCTCGAGCAGGCCGGCCCACGCTGTGGGTCCTCGCAGGGAAAGACAGGACGGACCGGAGGCGAGGGACAGGGTCCGAGGCCCCGTCCGCGGGGAGCCGGAGCCGGTCCTGTGCCGGGGTGGGGCTCAAGGCCCTCGAGGGCGCTCCTCGCAGGAGAAGGCGGGGACGGGCACATGGTCCTGGCCTGCAACCGAGACTCACCCCAGCCCTGCCCGACCTCCGAGGGCTGGCTGTCCGCTGGGCAGGCACTGGGCAGGTGCTGGGCAGGTGCTGGGCAGGTGCTGGGCGGGTGCTGGCTGGGCAGACGCTGGGCAGGCGCTGGGCAGGCGCTGGGCGGGTGCTGGGCGGGTGCTGGTGCAGGTGCTGGTGCAGGTGCTGGGAAGGTGCTGGGCAGGTGCTGGGCGGGTGCTGGGCAGGCGCAGGGCAGGTGCTTGGCAGGTGCTGGGCAGGTGCTGGGCGGGTGCTGGGAAGGTGCTGGGCAGGTGCTGGGCGGGTGCTGGGCAGGCGCTGGGCAGGTGCTGGGCGGGTGCTGGGCAGGCGCTGGGCAGGTGCTGGGCAGGTGCTGGGCAGGTGCTGGGCGGGTGCTGGCTGGGCAGGCGCTGGACAGGCGCTGGGCGGGTGCTGGTGCAGGCGCTGGGCAGGTGCTGGGCAGGCGCTGGTGCAGGCGCTGGGCGGGTGCTGGCTGGAGGTGTGGCTCAGGGAGCAGGCCCGGTGGAAGCACGCGGGGCCTGGGGGCGGGCAGAGGGGAGCTGGAGGCGCGGCGGGGCGGGGTGCGGCGAGGGGACTAACTGAGGGCCCGGAAGGTCAGCAGCGGGATGACGGACGGCATCAGGACGAAACGGTAGACCATCTTGATATCCTCTTGCGTGAGCGTGTCCACCTGGAAGTGTTTCAGCACCTAGGACAGAGGCGGGTCCCCGGCGGCCGGTCAGTCCCCTGTCCCCGCCCTCAGGCCCCGCCCACAGGCCCCGCCCCCGCCCCGGCCGCTCACGTGGTGCAGCAGCAGCAGCATCTCCATCTCGGCCAGGCGCCGGCCCAGGCACTGTCGGGGGCCGAAGCCGAAGGCCAGGTGGGGCAGCCTGGCGCCGGAGCCGCGGTGCAGCCAGCGCTGCGGCTGGTAGAGCTCGGGCCTCGCGAACACGGCGGGGTTTCGGCCCAGGTAGTAGAGTTGCACGGTGATCAGCGTCTGCGGCAGCGGGAGGGCGGTCAGCAGGCCGGGTGCAGGTCCCTGCTTGGCCTGGGAAGGACGGGGCCTCGCTCACCCCTGCCGGGATGTGGTAGTTCTGCAGGACCAAGTCCGAGTTCACCTGCCGGTCCACAGAGATGCCCACGGGGTACAGCCTGTGGACAGGGCAGCAGCAGCTCGTCATGGCCAGGGCCCCACCTCCTCCGCCAGGGCCCGCCCTCGCAGGTCCCTTTGGGACCAGGACCTGCGGCCCCTCCTGAGCTCAGCCCAAACTCTCCCAGCCCCGGCGTCTGCGGTGAGGCCCGAGGGACAGGAGCTCTGTCCCTGAGGGGCAGGGGCCGGGTGCACCCTCGGCAGAGCTGCCCACAGCCAGGCCCTGTGCGTGCCGGCGGCGGTCCCGGCGGTGCCTCGGGCGCGCCCACCTCAGGGTCTCCTTGAGCGCGGCCCGCAGCAGGGGCAGCTCGGCCACGGCCCGCTGGGGGTTCTCGGAGATGGCGGCCTCGGCCTGCAGGCTCTCCTGACGCAGGGCCTGCTGCACCTCGGGGTTGCGCGCCAGCTCGAAGAGGGTCATCAGCAAGGGGTAGGCCGTCTGCGGGAGCGGGGAGCCGGCTCAGACTTGGCGCAGGCTGTGCCCCGGCCCGGCCCCCTCCCCGGGCGGGGGTCTCAGACCAGGGGTGTGCCTGCTGAGAGCAGGATGGAGCCCAGGGCACCGACCCTGCAGGCAGGACCCTAGAACCCACTCCCTCTGCTTGCCCTGAGCCCCAGCCCCCGGGAGACCGGCCTTGCCACCTCTGGGGGTTCCCACCCCCCTCTGGCTCCAGCAGGGGCTCCCCCTCGCCATCTATTTGGGGTGGTGCCTGGGGCAGCTCCTCCCCGTGGGCCGTTCCCATGTGCAGGGAGAGGCACCCCAGCCCAGCCTGAGACCTGCGGACGGATGCTCTCCTAATCTCATCACCATGGCAACAGGCCCTGCATCTCCGGACACACGGCAGTGACCTGTCCATGCTGCGCCCTGTGGCCAATGGGGCCTTGTCCGTTACTGGGGGACCCATGCTCCAGGCAGCCTGCAGGGCGATGAGGCCTGGCACTGAGCCCTGCCTTGCAGTGGCCCTGACCTCTGCCCTTCTCTGCCCCCCACTCAGCCTCGCTGCCTCCCCTTGCTGCCTGCTGCCCCGGGACTGCTGCCCCCGAGCCCCGCAGGCCTGGCTAGCTGCTGGGTGGTCGCTCCACATTCTGTCCGAAGTCCCGCCCCCAGGAAGCCGCCTGAGGGGCATCCCCTGGGCTCGCTCGCACTGGGGGCACCTTGGCTTCTGGTCAGGGAGGGTCTTGCCACGGACCTGAGCCTCAGCATCCCGGCTGCCAGGCCCAGAGCGCTGCCAGGCCCAGAGCGCTGCCAGGCCGAGTGGCCTGAGAGCCAGGGGAGGCTGGGCCTGGAGGCAGGAGGTATTGGCTGGCTGCACGCTCTGGCCCGCCCGCCCCCCACACGGGGCTGCCATCTGCTCTCTCCCCGGTTAGCGGGAGCCGTGCTGCCCTGCCTGCCACCAGCTGCCGCCTCCATGGGATCTTTAAGACCAAATGCCATGGTCCCCGCAGGGCCCTGTGCGGCCAGCCTGGGCTGAGCCCTCTTGCTGGCACCCCGATGGTCTGCATGGGGTCCCTCTGCAGGCTGCCGCAGCCTGGGCCCCTCCAGTGACAGCACACTCGCCCTGCGAGGTCCCTCCGTGTGCCTCCCCTCCGAGCTCATTCCCCAGGCGGAGCACAAGATGGAGCTGCAGCAGCCTGGCCAGGGGTGGGGGCCGGGCGGGGCCGGCCTGACCGTGTCCACGCTGCCGGCCGTGAGGTCGATGGAGCTGGCCTTGATGGCGTCCAGCGTCATGTCCGCGTGCAGGAGCAGCTCGGCCACCACGCCGCTGTAGTGCTGCGGGCGCCCGAGCGCCAGCTCCTGGTAGATCTTCTTGATGGAGCTGTTGGCTGTGGGCACAGAGCCTCCTGCGTCAGCCAGTCACCCTCTGCCCGGCTCCCTGCGCAATCCCGGGGCCTCTGTGAGCCTCGGTTCCCTTCTCTGACTGAGGCCCCGGGCCCCAGCCATGCAGCCACCTGGCTCCTACCTCCCCTCCCCTTGGCTCCCCCTCCCTGTCCCCCTCCCTGTCCCCCTCCCCCTCCCTGTCCCCCTCCCTGTCCCCCTCCCCCTCCCTATCCCCCTCCCTGTCCCCCTCCCCCCTCCCTGTCCCCCTCCCCCTCCCTCTCCACCTCCCCCCTCCCTGTCCCCCTCTCCCCCTCCCCCTCCCTCCCCTCCTCCCTGTCCCCCTCCCCCTCCCTGTCCCCCTCCCCCTCCCTGTCCCCCTCTCCCTCCCTCCCCCTCCCCCTCCCCCTCCCCCTCCCCCTCCCTGTCCCCCTCCCCCTCCCTGTCCCCCTCCCCCTCCCTCTCCCCCTCCCCCTCCCCGTCCCCCTCCCCCTCCCTGTCCCCCTCCCCCTCCCTGTCCCCCTCCCCCTCCCTCTCCACCTCCCCCCTCCCTGTCCCCCTCCCCCTCCCTGTCCCCCTCCCTGTCCCCCTCCCCCTCCCTGTCCCCCTCCCCGTCCCCCTCCCCCTCCCTCTCCCCCTCCCTGTCCCCCTCCCCCTCCCTGTCCCCCTCCCCCTCCCTGTCCCCCTCCCCCTCCCTGTCCCCCTCCCCCTCCCTGTCCCCCTCCCCCTCCCCGTCCCCCTCCCCCTCCCTGTCCCCCTCCCCCTCCCTGTCCCCCTCCCCCTCCCCGTCCCCCTCTCCCTCCCCCTCCCTCTCCTCCTCCCTGTCCCCCTCCCTGTCCCCCTCCCCCTCCCTGTCCCCCTCCCTCTCCCCCTCCCCCTCCCCCTCCCCCTCCCTGTCCCCTCCCCCTCCCTGCTCACCGTACTGGAAGATGCAGTCCCAGGCCTGGAAGTGCTCCTTCCACACCCGGGGGCTCGTCCAGCGGGACAGGCTGCGGGGCACGAACATGAGCCGCATGGTGGACTCCAGCATGGCCTGCAGCGCGTGCATGAAGTCCAGGCTGGCTCGGCTCGGGCTCTGGCTGAGGAGGCCCAGCCGCTCTCCAAAAAGGACCAAGTTGCTGGCTGTGGAGGAGGGGCCGCTGAGGGCATGGCAGCCCAGGGCTCACTGCGTCCTTCTGCCCACCCTCCCGGCCCCCGCTCCCCAGCCCCTGCCCCTGGCCCCTGACTGCCAGCTCCTGCCCCCTGACTGCTGGCTCCTGGCCGGAGACCCACCCTCCAGGGTGTAGTAGAAGATGCTGGGCTGGACGTCCAGGGTCAGGCTCCCGCGTGCGTTCTGCTGCACCTTGGCCATCAGGGCCCCGCAGAAGTCCCTGGCCACCCGGTCCACCATGGGGACGAACTTCTGGACGGCCTGCGGCGACATCACGTCGGGGTTCAGCCGCAGGCGGTCAGAGCGCCAGGCCGGCCCGTTCCTGTGGGGCAGAGCGAGCGTCAGGGCACCGCCAGCAGCAGGCCCCTCGCTGCCCTCCTCCTCCTCTCCACGGGCACCCCCGCCACAGGCTCCATCAGGGCGCCCGTGGGCTGCGCCTGATCCCAGCCTGGCCCTGGGCCGCGCTCCCCTCGCCGTGGGCCTGGTGGCTGCCTGTCCGCTCCGCTCAGCCCTGGCCCCCCACCCCCACCCCGCAGCCGCCGCCCTCACAGCAAGAACACGCCGTGCTTGTGGCCGCGCTGCTGCCGGTGGGCCAGCCAGGGCTCCAGGACCATCCTGCGGGGCTGGCGGCCCTCCGCCTGCTTCAGCTTCTCCACATCCTCGGGCAGCGTCAGGCACACCATGTGCCTCCCGCCCACGTCGTACCTGGGACAGAGGCAGAGCCGTATGGCTGCGTCCTGGGCCACAGGAGGCCTCCCCTCCCCTCCCCTCTCCGGCTCCCAGGGGCAGCCCTCCTGCTGGCCCCTCTGGACCTCAGGACGAGCCGGGCAGGCGCTGCCCCCGGGCCCGGCCCGGCTCCGGAGGGCGCAGGGCCCAGGCGGGGTGGGGCGGCTCACCGGAAAATGGGCCCCAGCTCCTGGAAGGCCTGCTGCATCTGCAGGTGCAGGTCCTCCGAGCCCTCCCTCCAGATGCGCAGCACCCGCAGCCACCTGCTGCCCGGGCACCGGGGCATGGCCTCAAAGGGCAGCGGCGCCCGGGGGGCCGCAGCCGCGCTGGTGCCCAGTGCCCGCGCCCAGCGCAGGGGCTGCTGGGGCCCTGCCATCGCCACGGCCGCCCTGGCCCGGAATGCCATGCCCGACTCCCTCCGCCCCTCGCCCTGCCCTCTTATCTGGCTCAGAGGCCTGACTCTCTGATGGCGTCATGGGAGAAAGTGTCCCTGGGCCAGGCCAGGGTGCCCAGGAAGGGGTCAGGGCTGAGGGGTCCCCCAAAGGAGAGGGATGAGGTGGGCGGGCGCCTTGTCCCGGGTCCATGCGGCCTGCTGCGGGGTGGTGGGTGCCCCGGGCAGGTGTGGGGTCGGGCTGGGGGCTGGATCAGGCTGGGCTAGACCAGGCCTCGCGCCCCCAACTTGAAGGGAGCAAGATGGATGGGCTCCTTATCTTATCAGATGAGAGAGGGGCCTTGGGTATTTTTATCTCATTCCAGGAGGCGGGGCTGAGCGTTCCTTCCCTTTCAGGCTGAGCAGCTGCAGGGAGTGAGACAGTGCTGGCCAGGTCCCTCCCGGGAACTTCCCGCCCCAGGCAGTAGGGGTGGCACAGGGACCTGTCCGTCTAGTCCGTGAGGGCACTCCCGAGGCTGAGGAGGGGGCAGCATGCGTTGGACGTGCCGCCCCAGGGCTGCAGCGCTGCCACACCTGCTCGCTCGCCCTGAGTGGGCTCTCAGGGGCCCAGGCCTCGGGGGGCAGGTGGAGTGGCGGTGGGCTCCCCACTCTCCTGGGGTCGTCCAAGCAGGTGCACCGAGGAGCGGACCCGTGAGGGGTACGGTGGCCGGGCAGCACTCCCACAAAGTGGGTCTCGCCATCGCTGTTCCCATTTCAGACAAGGAGATGGAGGCCTAGGGCTTCTGTGACCTCCGGAGGCTCCCAGAGCTGGGCCTCCCAGCCTGGCCCTGATTTGGGGCTGGGGCTGGGGCCATGGGGTCTCGGCTCAGGCTGCAGAGGAAGGACGGAGGGCGTGTGCGGGTTTAGCGGGGAGGGCCACACTCCCGGGGCTGTTTTCTTCTCTTCCCCTAAAAATAATTTTGCTGGAGGCCTGGTGCGTGGAGTTTCTGCGTGGGTAGGAGCCCTAGGTCTGGCTGGCCATCAGGGCTGATCAGCCCGGTCACTGGCTGGGCGATCAGGCCCTCCCACTGGCACCTGACTTGGCTGGCCTGGGCCTGCGGGCTAGGGATAGCTCCTGCATTGAGCATCTGCCCCCTGGTGGTCAGTGCATGTCATAGTGACCGGTTGTTCCACCCTTTGATTGATTTGCATATTAGGCTTTTGTTATCACAGATTGATTTCAGAGAGGAAGGGAGAGGGAGAGAGAGAAACACCAATGATTAGAGAAAACCTTCCACCGGCTGCCTCCTGCAGGCCCCACCCTGGGGATGGAGCCCCACAACCCAACCATGTGCCCTGACCCAGAATCGAACTGTGACCTCCTGGCTCCAGGCAGTGTTCCTTTTTCCCTGCTCGGAGCTGCCCCAAGGACTCTTCCTCTGGCGATGAGTCAGGCTGTGCCAAGGCCCCTTCGACAGGGGAGACGGATGGTGTACCTCAGCGCCGTGGTGACGGCCGTCCTTGGGCAGGGACGCGGGGCCTGCGGCCTGACCTTGGCCACAGGTGCAGTGGCCCTGCCCCCACCGGGTGCCTCTCCTGCTGCCCGCCTTCTGGTCTCCTGCTCTGCTCTGGGCTTTGGGGGATGTAGACGTGTGCCCCTCTTTGATGTCCACAGACACAGCCTGTGCCCGCCCGCAGGAGCTGATCTGAGCGCCCGCTGCCGCGCTGAGAGCCGAGGCGGAAACGTAGCCGGCAGGAAAGACACAGCTCCGTCACGGGGAGCGGGAAGCACGAGGCTGGGCCTTCGGGAGGGAACACGGAACTCAGGCTTTGGGGTCACGAAGGGCTGGGCATCCCCTAGCTCCCCACACGCAGAGGGAACAGGGAATGGGCCTCAGGCAGAGGGAAGAGGATCCCAGGGGAGGGAGAAAGGGACGTCAGAACACAGGGGCCAACGTAGAAGGCAGAGAAACTAGTCAACACGGACCGTTTTAAATGACATCTTGTGGGACTGACACACACAATAGACATAATTAAAACAAAAACAGTGTCTCCGAGAACTTAGACATCTGGGACTCAAAGCCTTACAGAGCCCCGGGCAAAAACATGCCCCGCCCACAATCCTCTGTGCCCACAGACACAGGGACGGAGCCCCCGGGAGCCCTGCAGGGCGAGGCCTGGGGCCCCCTGCTGTCCCCGGAGCCCGTCAACACCCCAAAAGGAGGGCCAGAGGGCTGTGTCCCGGGGTCTCAGCCAACAGGAGCCCGCGCTGTGGTCGCTCAGGGCAGAACCTGCGGTCTGGGCATCCAGGGCCGTGTCCCCCGAGGGGCCAGGGGAGGGGCTCCTGGTGCTCCTGGCTCCCGGCCGCATCCTTCAGTCTTCACAGGGCCCCTCCTCGGTCACGTGCCTTCTCCTGCATGTTCACGTGCGCACTCCCGGTCGATCATGTGGCCCCGGCCCTATTCATGGGTGCAGGTGAATCACCCCACAGTCCTGTGCGGGGCGCTGCGGCCCATTGCACAGGAGAGGCTCTGGCAGCACAGAGAGGGCAGGGGCTTCCTGGAGGGCACACAGCCCAGAGGCAGAGCCACAGAGGGAACAGGGGCTGCCCGCCTGCGTCTTCCTGACCTGTGACCTCTGGGTAAGACGTGGATTGGGGTCAGCAAACCGGCCAGCTGACCTCTTGCATGCGCCCTTGAGCTGGGCCCTGCCCGGGGCCGCCTCCACATCCCTGATGCCACCCACCTCCGCGGCAGCGCCTCTCACCCCGGGGCCCCGCGGCGCCCAGCACGCTCAGCCCCGGGACCCGCCGAGCCCGGCCCCCCGGCCCGGTCCCCCAGGTCCTGCCTGCAGCCGGGGCCCTCACACCCCCTGGACAGAGGGGTGCGGACCCCAGGGGGACATCCGCCCTCGGCATGCCCTGAGCGCCGAGCCCGGGCTGCCGTCCAGCTCCTGGAGGTCCGGCCGCGCAGTGCGGCCACCGGGGGGACAGCTGTGGCGCCCCCTGCCCGCCGCCCTCCCCTGCGGAAGGGGGTCCGGCTGTGGCTCCGCCTCGGAGGCGCGGACGCTGCGCCCTCTGCCGGCCGGTCCCGCTCCTGCAGGCGGCAGAGCGTCCCCGCCCTCCGGCACCCGCGGCGCCCGCGGCGCCCGGCGCTCCCAGCCCGGTCAGAGCCAGGCCGGCCTCCCGCAGCCGGACCGGCCGAGCTGGCCCGGAGGCGGGGGCTCTGCCCTGCGCCGCGGGGCCCCACAAACCGGGGGGTCCGGGCCATGCCGCCGCGCCCCGCAGAGGTGCGGGGACAGAGGCGGGAAGGCTGCGGCGGGGAGCGGCCGGCCTGCGGGGAAGGCGGTCCGGCTCCTGCTGGGGGGCTGAGCGGACACGGAGCGCCGGCGCCGGGGAGGCTGTGCCCGTGGCCCCCGCCGTCCGCCCGGGACGTCCCCGGTGACCGCACAGCCCGGCGGGCCCGGTCCCTGCTGGAGGGAACGAAGGATGCTCGAACCCGGAACCGCGGCGCCGCAGGGCCTGCTGGGAGGGCGTGGGCTGGGTCGGGTGTTGCTGTTTCCATTGATCCCGGGGCCGGGCCCCGGGCCGCCTCCTCCCACACCGGCCCGGCCCGCAGCCCAGGCGGGTGCCCTCGAACTGGGACCGAACCGGGACCGAACTGGGCCCTCCCGCAGGAGGCCTGCTGACCCGGCGGTGAGGCCTGTAGGGGAGCCCCGGCATCTTTGGGTCTTTTGTCACCGCGGGAGCATGAACGGACCATGTCACTGTCCCCTGCCCTTCTGGAACCTTCTCTCCCCCCAGCACCTGCCCTCTGGGACCTTCTAGGACCTTCTGCCCGCCCAGCGCCTGCCCTTCTGTACCTTCTGCGCCCCCCCCCCCCGTGCCTGCCCTTCTGGAACCTCCTTTCCCCCCAGCACCTGCCCTCTGGGACCTTCTGGAACCTTCTGCGCCCCCACGCCCCCAGTGCCTGCCCTCTGGGACCTTCTGGGACCTTCTGGAACCTTCTGCGCCCCCCCCCCCAACAGTGCCTGCCCTTCTGGAACCTCCTCTCCCCCCAGCACCTGCCCTCTGGGACCTTCTGGAACCTTCTGCGCCCCCCCGCCCCCAGTGCCTGCCCTCTGGGACCTTCTGGGACCTTCTGGAACCTTCTGCGCTCCCCCCCCCCAGTGCCTGCCCTTCTGGAACCTCCTCTCCCGCCAGCACCTGCCCTCTGGGACCTTCTGGGACCTTCTGGGACCTTCTGCCCGCCCAGCGCCTGCCCTTCTGGAACCTTGGCCCTCCCGGCGGGAGCCAGGCCTCGGCGCTGAGCGCGGGGCCTTCTGGGAGCGCATCCTGGAGCGGCCTCAGGCCCAGCGGCTCCTGCGGCGCATGCGCAGCTTCTGGAAGGTTCGGCTTCGAGGTTCAGGCGCCACAGGGACCAGGCAGGTGCGGACGGAGATCGGGGTGCGGCCCCAGGCCCCGCTGCAGGGAAGGGGTGCTCGCTGAGGAACATTCCAGAAGGGGCCCAGCGCCTCATGCTGCAGGGACCTCGGCGCCCAGGGGGTGACCCGCGCTGGGCGGGCACAGTCGAAGGGGCGGGAAGGGGGCGGGAGGAGCGGGTGCGGGTCGGGGTCAGCGCGGCCCCCGCTGGGCGCTGGGATGGACACAGGCCAGGCGGGCCCATGGGGCTGTCGGGGGAGGAGCAGGAGGGCGGGCCCTGCGTCCATGGCAACAGGCTTTGATGGACACCTGGTGCCGAGCTGACCGACAGCCTTGCTTCCGTCCAGGGCCAGCTCCGCGCGAGATGACGGTCCTCCTGGCCTTCCTCCTGGCCGTGGGTCTGCCGTGGGTGGAGACCAACGTCACCGAGATCGGGAGGCAAAGTGGGTCCGGCGCGGAGCCGGAACCAGGGCTGGGCCCACCGCGGGAGGAGGTTCCGGGCTGGGCGGCGGGCGGCGGGCGGCGGGCAGCGGGCGGGGGGCGGGCCCAAGGGGCAGACACCAGAGCTGGGGTTTCGGTTCCCGGAGCAGCAGGATGTGAGACGCCAGGGGTGTGTGTGGGGGGCGGGGGTCCTGGGTGAGGTGTGGGGTCCATGCCTGGGTCTGTGTGCCTGCTGTGTGTGTGGGTGTGGAGGAGGGAGACACACCCTGTGGGCGCGAGGGAAGCCACAGAGAGACCAGGAACTCAGCCAGATGCTCTGTGGGGAGTGGGAAGGCTGGGCCCCCTGGAGGAGGGGGTGTCCCGGGCAGCCTGGAGGGTGCCCACCCTCTCCTTCCTTCCAGCCCTCTTCATGTGCCATGTCTGCGAGGAATTCTACAGTTTGTCTTGCTTCAGTCCCAACAATTGTGACACCGAAGAAACGTTTTGTGTGACTGTCATCGTGAGTAAGTTGCGCTGACCCTGAGCAGCACGGTGTGAGCTGGGAGGTCCATTTACTGGGGGATTTTTCCAGCTTTCACCGGTGCTGGCGAAGGTCCAGAAGAGCCACACCAGCCCGGCAGCGAGCGGCTCCCTGGAGGGGCCAGCTCTGCCCTGGGCGATGGCTTGGCTTGTCCGGGGTCCCTGGCTCCCATGCACTTGTGTGTGGTCGCGGAGGCCTGAGCAGCCCTTGTGGAGGCCTACGCCGCCTGTGCACTCCCAGACAGAGCCCCAACCCGGGTCCTGGCACGGGCACAGGCCAGGCGTGGGGCATAGACACCAGGCACACGCTCAGCCCACACAGGCCTGCCCCTCGTCCTGCCCACGGAGGACTGCAGCCTGTATTTTGTGTGACTGAGGGCGCCAGGAGGCTCAGGGCTGGCAGACCCCGTGCGCAGCGGTGTCCCTGCTGCCCACGCACACGGCTGCTGCTGTCTGCTCCCTCAGGGATGCTGGTGCGTTTCTTCTACGTGTCCCGGCAGTGCACCCGGTTCTGCCCGACGATCAGGTCCATCGATGATCAGTTGCAGCCCTACAAGTCCTACATCCTCCTGCAGCCCACCCCATTCCTCTACGCCTCCTGCTGCAGAACGCCGCTGTGCAACACAGACAGCCCGTTCATCAACGACACCGAGTGGAAGTACTACCGCGAGGCGGGGGGCGCCCGCGCCCCGCGCTGCGGCAGTGCCGGGCCGGTGCTGCTCCTGGCACTGGCCGCCATGTCCCTGGGCCTCAGAGGGTCCTGAGTGCAGTGCCAGCGGGTGGGCCCTCCATGGGGGGGCTGTGCCATTAAACTGTGTTCCCTGATGGATGTGTGGCTGGCTCCGAGGGGCGCTGGAATGGGAGGTGGGGGGCCCGCCGCCCACTCGGCAAGCTCCCGGCTGCTGGGGCCAGCTGTGTTCACAAAGGGGGGCCAGCTTGTGGGGGACGGTGTGACTTAGGGACACACATCACCGGCCAGTCAGGATGCAATATGGGAAGTAGGAAGAAAAAAGGAGACATTCTGTTCATTCCTTTCTACTTTTTAAAAATATGTTCTTTATTGATTTTTTAGAGGAAGTGAGGGAGAGAGAGAGAGGCTGACACATGGCTGTCCGTGAAGCAGTGACCGGCTGCCTCCGATACGCCCCCTACTGGTGTCTGTTTGAAGTGAAGCCTTGTCACCTTGTGGCCCGCCTTCCAGGGCTGCAGTAAGGGGGCTGGAGTCCCACCGTGGAGAGAAGCTTCGGCTCTGCCCTTTGGGGTTCACAGGTTCAGGGGAAGGGGAGGAGGGTCCCCTCGGGTGGAGCGGGTGAAGCCTGAGGCCCTGTCCTGAGGAGGGAGACTGCGGCTGCTCCTCCTGAGCTCCTCCTGTCCCAGAGACACAGCAGGGCCCCTGCACGGACCTGGACTTGCCCCTGTGTCACCCGCGTGCGGACTCACCCCCCCCCCCCCCCCCCGCCTCGTCCTCCCGCGCCTCGGGCAGGGGGACGCGTTGGGGCCCACGCTGTGCACACCTGCTTACGGTGCGCCATGGAAGAGGCCAGAGGTCAGGCTCTAGGCGGGCGGAGCAGGTGCCCTGCCTGGGGTACACTCAGTGGGGCAGGCAGTCCGGAGCCTCCCAGAAAGCCTCTGGCCCAGAAGGAGGCAGATGGGGCAGGCAGAGGGGTGTTCTGTGCCGCCCCTGAGACACGGAGGCGGCCATTCTGTCACCCCTGAACCCTCAGCCTCTCGTGGGACAGCGCAGCCGCGGGGGTGGGCCAGCAGTCCCGGGCGGGGCGCATTTGTAGCCTCTGTCGGGCTCCTCCCTGTGCTCACCCTGCCTGCAGCCACCGCTCACACGCGGGCTGCCCACGGGCGCTGCTGGAGGCAGAGCACAGGCCGGCCCAGCAGGGGCTTCATCAGGAGCGGGCAGGGCGAGGGCGAGGCGCCATCGCAGAAAAGGACTGCCGTGGGCAGGAGAACGGTGCCTGGGACAGGCTGCGGCAGAGACGTGCTCACCGCACGGCGACCCAGGGGAGCAAGTAACCCGCGGGAGGAGGGCAGTGGGATGATCACGTCAAACCAGCGGAGGGAGAACCCCACCGGCCCGGCCGTGGCCCAGAAACACCCACATCCCAGGGGAGCCGGCGGAGGAGGGCGCGCAGCCCCCACCGGCACTCAGGGACCTGCAGGCCCAGCGGCCACCGCTGGGGGCGCGGGTGCAGGCGCGGGGGCTTCTGGGAGCGCTGGTGCCCTGGGGGCGGGGTCTCCAGAGGTCATGCTTCGCGCAGCTTCTTGAAGGTTCTGCTTCACTCGTGACAGTTGGGCCAGTGCAGAAGGCTCTGGAAGGCTAGAGCTTCGGGAGACGGTTCCATAAGGTCAGGGAGGTTTGGGGGGAGGCCTCTAGAACTTCGGGGTGCTTGGGGGGTCAGGGTTCTAGAAGGGCAGGAGCTTTGGGGTCGTGGTTCCAAATGGCTGGGAGCTTGGGGTAGAAGGGAGACATGGAAGGTTCCAGAAGGTCTGAGAGCAACGTGGGTGGGGCCACAGACCCAGACCTCAGCCTCGGCTCAGGGTTCGGTCCTGCGGGTCAGCCCTGGGGCTTGGGCCTGGGCATAGGGGCACCCGCCCCTGCCCGCCCACCTGCGCCCTGGCCTCCCCGCAGGTCCGTGGTGCCGCGATGCTGCTGCTGCTCTGCGCCCTGCTCCTGGCCGGGCTGCCGCTGTCGCTGTCGCTTTCCAAGTGTGAGTGCCAGGGCCCCCGGGGACCGGGTCTTGGGAAGGTTGGGGTGCAGGTCCCACCTCTTCACCAGCCGGGGACCCCGGTTCCCGAGCCACAAGGGGTCCAGGGGGATGGAGGGAAGGCCTTGGTCTGGAGCCGCGCCCTGGAAGCCTGGGGCTCCTGCTGCTGGCAGGCAGCAGGGGTGCTGGGTCCAGCGAGCTCTGGGGGTCCTGGCCTCTGAGGGGGCCGCACCCGCAGAGCAGAGGTGTCCACCACCACGGGGGCTCCGTGGGCCTGCCTCTGGGAACCGGTGCGGCTCCCGGTGGCCTTGGCTGCTGCGCAGGGAGCTGGTCCTGCCGGCCTCGCAGCCCCCCAGGCTGGGCCTTGCGCACCCGGTCCTCCAGGCCGGAAGAGGGCGGGGGGAGGGGGGAGCAGTGCTGAGGGCCCTCTCTCCTCAGACACCTACAAACTGAAATGCTACGAGTGTGCGACCATCAACACCTTCCAGTGCCCGATGACTAGGGAATGCCGGTACGAGATCCGGCGCTGCATGACCATCTCCATCCGTGAGTGCCTGCCCCTGCTCTGCCCGGGGGGGCGTGTGGGTAGCACTGGCCTCCCCCAGAGCCGCGTGCTGGGAGGGCGGCTGGCAGTGGACGTGGCTCCCAGGGTGCCCAGCGGCTGGCAGCGAGGCCTCCACCTGTGCCCCCTGCGGCCGGGCGGTTCCTCCTGGCCCGGGCTCTGGTGTCTGGAGGTGCGTCCAGCTGCCGGGCCCAGGAGTGGCTGCCCGGGCCTCCGGGGACAGTGCCTGCCGCAGAGGAGGCCAGGCGGGGGCAGAGCAGACCGGCCTTGCAGGTGCTTCTCCTGTCCCTCCTTCCCTGCCCTCTCCCTCTCGCCAGTGCTCATGTTCTCAGTGAGGATGGAGCACACGGAACGGGGTTCCTCAGTGTGGCCCGTGGCCAGGTCCCTCACCGCGGGGCCGAGGAGGTGCTGGCGGTGCAGAGGGGACCCGCAGAGCTGGCTGCTTATGGAGTGACCGGCCCTCGGGTGGACTGGACATTCTTTGTCAGCCAAGAATTCCATCCAGGGCCTGGCCGGTGTGGTTCGGTGGTTGGGCATCGTCCCAGGCATGAAAGGTTGCTTTTCGATTCCTGCTCAGGGCACACGCCTGGGTTGGGGCTGGGTCCCCATGCGGGGTGTGCAGGAGGCAGCGGGAGGTTGTCTCTTCCAT